TGCATTATGTTGTCAGGCTTCCAGATAGCACCTATCTTCTGCAGCCGAAGTACTGAAACTTGGAGGTGTGAGAGACTCAAACTGCCTCAATAGAGGATATCCCAAAATATTTGTCCTAATGAGCAGATGCCTCATCACCTTCAGGCTGTTATAGAAACTTCTCCCACCACCACAAATTACTTTTTCTAATAACCCAATCAAGTTCTTCTGCTTTGCCAGTTTCACAGGACAGCAGATATGACTTTTTGGGCATGTAATCTTAGTATTTCGTATAACCTGTAGACATCTACAGGTGCCTCTGGATATAAGTTTGCACAAGTCTTTGTTTGCTATCAGGGTAACAAAGCTTGTTAAAATTCTACAAAAACCAGTGGACATCATGGGCTTTCAACATGCCTAGGCACTTGGCACAAATATGCTGAAGCATAGCCATGCAGGCCCATATGCATGGGAAAAGGTAGTTACTCAAAAGGAACGACTGAAATACTTGCTACTTGTGTAGAATTAGTTATGAAAACCTTGTTTTGCAAAATGGGTATGAAGATGTAATGAGTCCATTATAAATGGCTCAGTCTCTATAGCCTCACTGACAATATTGTTCTCATTCTTCTGTATATTTCTTTCTTCTGTAATCAACTCCATCCCCAGTAAGAAATATTCATAGGCTCCCAAGCCTATGCGTCAGATAGCTCCTATAAATTCACTTTCCTGCAATGACAACACGCAAGCAAACGAGTCACAGTACAAAACTATACCCAGCCTTTGTATGTTTTCCTAAGAATTTCCCAGTGGGACAAGATCTTGAACATCCTTTTCACACTTGCAACAAATTGCTTTTCAGAAAAATCTCTGCCCATTTGCTCATGGGAAATGTCGACCTCTTGGTAAAACAGTCTGCAATGAGCTTTTTTTGAAAAGCTGATAATAGCAAGCTGTCCTGAAAGCCTGGCCAGGGACCAGGAAGAGGTTACTAGGGCTCCCAGCTTGTACTAACAGGGGTTCAACCAAATAAACACAGCAGCTAGACATAAACCGTAGGGGTCCCTGTTGATTGCAATCACTTTCAGAAGAAAAAGTAAGACATATTGGAGTATGACATCTTCCAAAAGGAAACTTTTTTGGCTAAAGAAAGCCTGCACAACATACATCTGCGTGTACACCAATATTTTTAGGCATTGAGGGTTTCATGAGTGCTTTAGTTTGATGGAAAGAGCAATGATAATTTCAATACTGAATATTTTACAGGCCCCTTTGAGCTATGCGAGGGCATTTATAGCACCAATACGAAGACTACCATACTAAAGCCAACACTATTCACATACAATTACACACACAGAGGGTATTATGGCAATGACACATATGCCTCCTCTTATTTCAAAAAAGAGGCTTGAGATTTGTATTGCAAAATATGCTCAGAAATATTCTAGAGAGAAAGTAACATTTACAAAGAATTGATGTTATAAAATATTTTTCCTTTCACCCTTTTCCAAAATATACTACATACCACATCATTACAATTTACCTATCTACAGATTTTTCTGAGAGTTTTATACTCCAATAACTGAGCATATGAACTTTCTGAAACATTAAAATAAGACATTTGTGTATGAGGGACTGCTTTCCACAATGCTGATATGCAGCACTGAACTCATGAATGTTCTATTAATTAGACAAAGCCATGGCTATTAGACCTAAACTTTTGACCCAGGCTAATATTTATTTTAAATAAACTAGGTATCTCTATTAAATAAGAAAGCAAGATGAGTCAAGATTAGTACTGTTATTGCCATGTATATGTCCAAACATACAAAAGTTGTCATGTGTCTCACACAGCAAGTATGATTTGCTTGGTACATATGAAGAATTAGGTATCCAAGATGTCAGACTCTAGAATAGTTAAGGAGCACAACATTTTCTTCAAGTGAATTTATTTTAAAGCTACTGCTATTTTTTTTTTTTTCTTCACACTAAACAAGATTAAATTGACCCAAATCATTTGAATTCTTGATTCAGCCTGAGTCATGTTATGTTGTACAATATTCCGTTACATCCCATCTGGTGTGATTTAACACTGCACGGTACAACAGAGTGAAATCAATTAAATTTATACTTCAGATAAATGCTATTACTTAAATTAGTTTGTAAAGGCGGGCCAACAGGTAACAGGCAATGTAGATTGGCAAGAAAATTAGATGAGTTATATCTCCTCTGCTTCCCAAATAACTCTTTGCTTACTACCTAAGAAGAAATTGGCAATCTGACAAAAAAACTTATTAGGCACTGAAAAGTTCTGTACCAGGACTGTTTGTGGAATGTGCTCTGAAGCACCTTCTGCTTATGAAGTCTAGATGTGTTCATAGTATGTAACAAAAAATGTATAATTAATAGAGCAGAATATTAATCAACAGCAATCTAAAATATGAAAATCCTGCTTCAATCTGTTATAATTTCTGGAAACATTTCATTTATGCTAGTTATAAATGGTAAATAGATACCTAGCTAACAAACTCTCAATCAACATCTGGTTAGCAGATAGGAATGGGAGTCACTTCTCATCTCAGTGTGCTAATTTTCTCAACATACTTTTATTTTTTTAAGTCCCTGGAAGTGTTGCAAGTCAATTAAATCAATTCCACTCAGGGGTATGCAAAACACATTAAGAAAAGACGAGATCTCATCAGTTCTATGTTTTGACTGAGTATCAAAATGTTGCATGCACAAGCTCGTCTAAAAACCTTTCAAAATTGCTAGAACATTTATGTGCAAGTCTTGCATGCCACAAGAGCAATGCATATTACAACTATATTTATAAGCAAAGCCTAATATGCCTCTTGCAGATGTGAAACAGTATGAACAGAAGAAGGTCTCTGTGCACATTTTGTATTAAATATTGAGAATTTGAAAGAAATCCCATAAACCAAAAATGTATTGGTCACTACAATTTTAGCTGTACCAGGTGCCAAAATCATACTAAGTTAAAATTAATTCCAAAGACTTGCTGTTCATCATGATAGAGAAATATTAAAATGATTCCCCCCCTTCATTCTACTGAAATTACTTACAACTTCTTGCTGAGATGTGGTCGAGTCCCATATTTTAGTTTTTAGGCTTTTCTGATATTTAGAACTTTGTTCATAAAAGCCTTTTCCACAGCCAATATTTTCTCAGTCCTTTTTATGCTGTCAGCATGACCCCATGCTCACCACAACTGTACCACCTATACTCCCTTCAGAATGCAAATAGGAGGATTCAACTTTTCTCAACTCATTATTTTTAACTAGCAATGCCTATTTCTCAAGGAATCATTCCTTCCTCTTTGAACTTTCCAGATGAAGTCAGCCTCTGCGACGTTGTCTGCTCCTCCCACAAGTGGTCCTGAAAGCTTATACAGGCAGTTACCATTTCCTTCTTCAGAAGCCTTCTGAAAAATGCCCCTCCAATGTGTCAAGAATAAACATGTCAACATTCGGTAGCTAGGGGGAGATATAACTGGGAAGAAGGTTTACATTAGTTTGTCTAAATATCTCTGTAGTTACTCAAAAGGAATGACTGAAATACTTGCTACTTGTGTGGAATTAGTCATGAAAACCGTGTTTTGCAAAATGGGTATGAAGATGTAATAAGTCCATTATAAATGGCTCAGTCTCTATAGCCTCATTGACAACATTGTTGTCAGAGAACAAAAATAAACGTATAAGACTATAAACATTTGGAATACTGAAACAATTTCAGGAATAAACTTGATAAAAGCTATTAGATCATGGAGTCCAGTTCTCTGCTATCACAGGAAAACTTGTGATAGAAAAATAACAACAACCTGTGAAGTTCTTCTGAGTCCATTACTATTGCTGAAAGCCAGAACATTCTTCTGCAGCATACTTTGTGTTGCTTAACTGATTGGGTTGCACTGGACTTCTTCCACTAGTTCTCCTTAGTTTGGGGAAATTAACATATATACTTATATTAGCACAGACCAAACGCATGAGAACAATGTTCCTAAGAGTGGACAGGCTGTCAAGGCTACAATACAACTATATACAACTACTTTGTCTCTGAATATTAATAATTTATCAGAAGATACAACACTAAGTGTACTTATGGCAATACTTGTCAAAAATAATTGACATTTTTCATAATAGGAGAGGCAAAAAAGTACATTTTTTCTAGAAGTTCAAGTCATAATATATTGCTCTTATTAAAACTAAACATTTATTCAAAGTAATTAACATAATTATCCTATTTACAACTGAATTAAAAAACTGAAAAACAAAACAGGAACATTTACAACCAAGTAACAGACTAAAAATAGAAAGGCTAAAGGAATTCAGATATACTTCATTAAAAACACTTGGCAAATATTTTTCTGTCTCCTGGTACTACATTGGTAGTACCTATCCATGATAGCATATCTAAGAATAAACTGGCATCCTAATGCTAAGCATGAACCCATTTTAATATTAACATCTGTTTGACTTGTTTCCAAATGAAAAACAATTTTAACATTAGGAAGTTTCAGTGAAAATAATTGAATAGGTCAAAACAATTTTCCTAACTTTTGTATCACAAAATTCTCATTAGAAAATTAAGACTGACTGTAGGTAAGCAATTTAAAGTAGCATCTAAAAATTACAGCACTGCTAATCCCCTTAAAGACTTGCACTGTCTGAAGTGTTAATCTGTTAGTCAAACACAGGGAAATGCTCACAAAGATTACGGCAAAAGGCATACTATGCACCTCTCCATTCCCAAGTCCAAATGAAATTTCTTATTCATTTGTTGATATACAAGACATTTGTAAGGTTTAACAGGAGACAAAAAAAGAACTTATTTTATTTTAGAATTTAACAAAATCCTCTTATTTTCAAAAAGTGGTTCTTTCTGCAAAAAATCATTACTGAGAGACATCTTTCACACAGAACAATTCATAAGAGGAAAACAAAAGTCATCACGTTCTCATCTGCTATCCATCAATCCTCCTTGAAATATGGATGAACTCAGAACTAAATCCTGTTTTTTTTCTTACAAACATGAAGTAAAAGATTTTTTGATGTCCTTGATTTAACACCCAGTGCTACATTTCCTTCAGAAAGGCTTCTAACTAGGTTTCTTGGCACATCCTGTTCTTGCTTCCAGCTCCTCGTTTTAATTCCTAGTGAAGAAAGAAATGTTATTACACATGCAGACACTCATTCAATAAACATGATCAGAATTTGGCCTATCTGGATATCCTTTTCAGAGCATGCCTAAGAATTTTTACACATATTTCTTGTCCTTATTGAAAGCCTAATTTGAATATACAAAAATTTAATTACTCTGAGCTCAGTAATCCAGTGTGCTAATTGCCTAGAAAGTCCAGTGATTAGACCCTCAATTGACATGAGATGCTACTAAAAAGGCATAGTGGTCTATATAAAAATGTAGAAATACATGAAAATTTTATTAATCCTTATTATTATAGACCAATATTGAAAAATGACCGCTATGTCATTAGAGAAAGTTTTGTTTATCTAATCCAAACACAGCTCTTCCTCTTAGTGATTTCGTCATATTTCATTCTTCTCCTGTAGTGCATGCTTTTAAAAATAAAATGTATTTTACATTCAGTTAAACTTTGAAGAATCAAAAGTCTACTCTCTATCTCAGAATGTGGTGCTTCATTACATAGTTTCTTAATAATACCAGAGTAGTAATTGACTTGGTAACTTCATAACCCAGTCTTCAGTAGTAGAAATTGATATCAATGTAACTGTGTATGCACTTTGCCAAGTAAGTAACTATTGGTTAGACAAAGTTTAGCCTCAGATTTACACTTTTCAGAAAGTTTATTATGATAAAACTTCAACATTTCTCATGAATGGAAAATAATACATATTAATATGTACTTGCTCCCTCACATCAGTTCTTACATAAAAACACATATGTGCTGTAAAACTGGCAAATTGCCTATGCCACTGGGAAAAGCTACACGATTAGTCTATTTCATAAGAACAGCAGACTAAAACTTTAAGCAATCTTTGATCTCCTCTGAACTGCTCAAGAAGTTGCACTAAGAAAGATCATTAAGTGTATTTTTGAAGACAGAGAGGAAAAGGAGACAAGTGGGTAGAGATAAAAGGAAAATTGTGAGGATTTAGCGCATTAAAAGCTACTGCAGGTGCCAAGCAACTTATTGCCACGCACTCGGAGAGGCAGAGGTTTTTGGAAAGTTGTGAACAAAAGACCTTTGTGCACATTTACTGAAAAAATTGTTTGTAACTGATTTTGCTACAGTAAAGAGTTATACACCTCAGAGAGAAGCCATGTTATCGTAACAGACTTTCACAGAACACCACCTGATAGTATTATTACCAGCAATTTGTTAGATGCAAAATAACTCCTAAATATTGCTTTCAAATAATTTTTTCTCAGCTATTGTTTTGGCCCAAAATAGCCCCAAAATTTAATAGATCTCTGAAAAAATCCACATCTGTAGTAACAAATCAGTGTGGTGTTATAAAACAAAGGAAGCAGTTAAAAAACAGGTATGGAAATAATTAGAGGATTTTATTTCTTGATAAACCATGCTTGGCAAGGATAAAATTGGTAATAAAGTTCACCAAATTTCTCAACAAGTACACAAACGATTTTTGGTGGAAGACTTTAACCCTTGGGAAAAGGTTTTCCCAACAAGCTTGTAGTAATACTGAGTTTTGATTAAATACCATCTAGATAACTGGTTAGACATTCAGGTAATTTTTTTAAATGAGTGGATATACTATTCAGATCAATGGCTTAGTGTACTGGTCACACCAATACGTGTGTTAAATTGACAAAACCTTGAGTATCAACCTTAATTTTGGACCTTCTGTACAAACACAGTTACCAATGCAGCGTCATACATTCAAGTTTTGACACTTACCTGCCATTTTGGGTACTCGCAAAGCTCTATGGCCTAACAATACCTCTTGTCGATTGCGTTTTGCAGAAACAGGGTCTTGGCCTAACCCAGTGTTTGACGCAGAACTGGAAAAATAGCCAGAAAAGAGTTTGTTTTCAGTAAAGTGATTAAGCTATATTACAGTAGTTTAGGCCTTGCAATGTAGAAATACATTAAACGATATTATCCGGTATTGGTAGTTTGTAACTGAATGCAAAGAATAAACTAATTTATTTATGATGTATATATATGGATATTATTCCCCTTTTTCTTTTTTAAAAACTTACAAGAATGTTTCAACTGTGAAAATAGGAACTAATGTTTCCACTTATGTTAAAATGGAGACTGATAAGCCACAGTTTTTTTGGAAACCACAGAAGCCAGTTTGATGGTCATTGCACACAAAAGAAACAATCTTAACGCATGTACGAAATCCTTGAAATGACCAAGCTGTGTTTATTGAACAAATTGCATTTTTTATTGCTACAATAATTTTTCTACAACCTCCAACACAGTTGGAGGGGGCGGCTTCATAGCAGACAATACTTTTCAGCTAAGCTGCAAGAAAGCTGTTACAGCTTCAAATTTATTAAAACAAAACCTCTATTTTATAGCCTTTTATGTGATGGACTTAAGATCTACAGTGAAAATTACGAACCTATCTGATCTTGCCCTTTTACACTTGCCTTGCTAACTTCCCTGGTTCCACTCTCTAAGACAACCTCATAAACAAGGTAATTCTATTTATGTCCCAAGTTTCTATGCTTTTCCTATTCCTCTAACTATATTGTATTATTCCCACTTCATAGTCCCCTAACTTACATTAGTTTTCTTAAAAATAATTTTCTGCCTAAATGAAAATATATAGCAAGCAGTAAAGACTAAGACGTGCCTTGTGCCAGTGGTAAGATCTATTCATGCATGCTTCTTGGTAGAGAAGTTATGCCAATAAGAATATTAAGCTATTTAGTAAAAGCAGCCTCTGTATTATAACTGACTTGTCTCTTATCTTGTGTCCTAGCAATATGACTGTTTCAAATTATATTTCTAAGGTAGAGACTATATCTGAAATTTATATTTTTTTTCTAAAGTTACTAGGAGATGAATGACTGGAATGAACTACTTCAAACAGGGAAAGCATGGAAGAAAAAAGGAGAAAAAGTAGAGAAAGGAAGAGCATATGCTTTTCTTCCTTCACAACTAAGAAGCTTTAATTCCTTCTCTTCATCACCAACTGCTAGACAAAGCCATAAAGAATTTTGGTTTACAGACAGTTTACAGTCTGAGGCAGAAGAAATAATCCCTAAAAAAGGAATAAAAAAAAAGTTGTGGGATTTTCCCGTAGTGTTATTCTAACTTGGAAACTCAGAAATACCTGTTTGAGACATAGAAGGAATGAGATAAAAGAGCAGAAAGTGCTAGTCTTTTGGGAAGAGATAAGCATATATAAGTTCAGAAATCATTACACAGTTATTACAAAAAAAGTACGCCTAAAGTCTGTCTTAGAACATTTACCTCAAGATAAATCAGGCTTCAAAAGTTCCCATACCTCTCCCTAAAGAGAATCTAGAAAACCTACTCTGTTTCAGAAAGCAGGTGATTTATTTTGCTAAATTCATAATCAACTGTTTGAAAAATTGAAAACGTGAGATGTGCCTCTTTTCTCTTCTTAAAGCAATACAGGTTATTCCTTATCCTAGAGCAATCCTGGCAAAACAGCGTAGAATGATAATTAATAACAATTAGAACAGGAACATGAAATTGAATCAGGTAAATCTGTGATCTTCTAGGAAAACTTTCTATCTCAAAGATGCTAATAAACCAAAAAAGTGCTTAAGCTTCTTTCATGTCCTGTGATCTATCTATAGAACTTGTTCCAACATTCTTGAAACATTCTTTAGAAGATCTATGATGTGGCAGCTCCACTCACTGTCTAGCAACAGGTGACTCATAATATGATTTAAAAAAGGTTATATCATTTTTTTTGAGGAAAAAAGAAAAAAAAAAAAAGCTGTTTCATCAGTACTGACCTGATAGCTAATCCTTAAATACATTAACAAAAAGAAAAAAAAAGGTACAATTCCGCTTAGTATCTATTCAGTTTCAGCTTTTCTGCTGCTCCTACTAACAAGCCTCTTTCAGGGTCATAAACCAAAAGTGACAAAATGGGAGTTCTTCCCAGAGCAGACAACAAGAATGAAGTCATAGCTGAGACTGGAAATGAATTATCAGAAAAACAAAGGGACTGTTCATATAAGTATTGTTAAACATTTTCTCCACTTTCCATTTTGGTAGTTTCTAATGTGTTCCAGCAAAGGCATAACATTTTCAAAGAAATTAGATTTTTTAATTGATGATGGAATTTGTCTTTTCAGAATTACGTGTCCTCTTTCTATTTTGAATAGATAGCAGATATGGAAGACACGATATTAGTTTGTACTTGTTAAAATAACAGAAGTTCCTAAACTAAGAGTAAAATAAGATTCAACTCAACTTGCCAGGAGAAAAAAAAAATTAAATTGTCCAACATATTTGAGACAGAACATCTCATATGTAGGTCCAGATGACTTGTGTAAGAGGTTTTAAGATTTGAAATATAACACTGAAACTGAAGGGAGAACCTAAGAAATTAATACAAGCTCATTTGTATAAGAGTTAGTTGAATCTTACCTTAATGCCTTTCTTTTTCTCTCAGCGGCAGAAGTCATTGCCATATATGAGGGCTTCTCAAGTACTGAAGTAGGATTTTTGTTTTTTAAGGAAGAGAGACCAAGTCTGAAATAAAAGAATTATATTTTTGTAAAATCTATTCTGCGTAGAAGTCAAGTGAAACTGTTCTTAACTGTAAACAAGTATATGTTAAGTAGAAAAACAATACCAGCAATTTGTTTCAATATTACTTGAAGCAGCTTCACAGGACTGCACACACATGCGGCAGCTTTAACAATGGCATCTCTCAATGTCAAAGAGGTTAAGGTATCCATTTTACAGACAGGAAGAATAAGGCTTAGAGAAAGTAACTTGCCTGAGGCATCACAAACAATTTCAGAAGTGCTGTATTTTCTTTTCAGTACATATCTTGTAAAACAGTAAGCTTTCAACTTCATCTGTTGAACATAGCATTGATTTCAAATAATGGCAGAATTGAATCTGATACTGATTAAAATTGAGGGTTTGATTTTCAAATTGATAGGTCTACAAATGAAATTGACATAAATGTAAAAACCCAGCTGTGAAGATAAACAGGATTAAATTGTTTGGGTAATATTCCTCACCCATATAAATAGATAATACCTTTGCAGAATGCTACCATTGCATGGCTGTGACTCCTTCGTGGATGAGTCAGTAGATGGTTCCGTTGTTTCACCTGTCCCTTCATAGAGAATTACTGTTGAGTCCATGTCAGCTTCATCACACTCTGGGATTATGTCACATGTAGAGTCCATAATACTCGCCTTTTTCACTGGCATATCTATATTACATGCATTGACTTCCTGAAGGCCTGCAAGGTGTAAAGCTTTCTTTACCACGGTCTGTGTACAGCTGCTTTGTACTGGCTTTCTGCAAAATTCTGGTGTATACACGATAGGGCGGACCTCCTTGGTAAGAGAATCCTCCAGATGATGGAGACTGGACTGCTTGGATGCAGCAGGGCTTTGAGCTGTGACTGGAGAGTCCATTAGCTTCCGCCTAATTCTTTTCTGTGGTGGTACTGCATATTCTACTATTTGTTGTGCATTTTTATTCATTTCTTCTGATGGTGTACCAAAAGTAGTACCTGTGCAACACAGACAACAATGGTTAGCATATTTACCTGTACTTACTACTTAAACCTTGCTTTTTCCCTCCTCTCCCCTGCTGAAATATGTTTATTAGCAGAAATTATTACAAATACTATTTATTTAATTTACATATTAATTTGGTCACATAACTGACATTATTTCTATTGCAGCATTGTCCAGATGGTAGCATTTGTTCTGTGGCACTCGAAGTATTATAAATATGCATAGGCCGATACAGTTAATCCCAGAGATATTACAAGTAATCACAAGTAAGTTATGACACATGACAACAGGGAATGGAAAGAGTAAGTATTGAAAATGATCGCATTATCATGACACAACTCTAAATTTAATTTAAGATGGTACTATCGCAGTAATCTACAGCTGCCTCCTGATCACGGCAACTTTTTCCCTAGCAAGTACCATGCAGTAGAATGAGAGACTGTTGTTAAAGGAAGGATATAGAATCACTTGGAGGGACAAAATTATTTGACATTGCCAATGATAAAGTAGTATTTTGGAAAAGGGGAAAGAAAGAAGTTACTGGGATCCTGTCATCTCAATATATCAACTCTGGAAAAAAGCTCTTCACTAAACCCCTCACCCTTAAAAAATAACAAAGCAAGCATTGCAGCAGTAATTGGCCATTCCCATTCATCCCATTTATACTATTTTTCTTGAAGTGTCATAATATTTTTATTTTCAAGCAGGTGGTAATAAAGGCAATTTCCAAAGTAAGAGAGAAAAGGCCTTTCTTTTATTCAAGTTTTCAGTACAGGAGAATCATTTTAAGACACAGACCACTGTTCAAATGGCTAGGCTAGTGGTGACTTAAGTAGTTAACAACAGCTTAAGTTTTTTTGGTTTGTTTTTTTTTAACAAATCAAGAGTAGGAGAGGGCTGTCAAAACCCCAAGTGCTTCTATGTTTAACTTTCAGTGCAAATTTAAGAAATAAAGACTACTGTCCTTAAAACATCTATGGATTGGCCCCACTTCAGCTGGTAGCCACATCATACTTCCCTTTTCTGCATTGCTTACTCCACTCCTGTGAGTAACTAAACTGTAAAAAGAGCTCCTGCTCTTTAAATTGCTGCATGTTACTCAAGAATTAACTATGGTATTCATATAAGAGTGTTGATAAATATTTATTTCTTCTAAAATTCCCTTCCATTTTTGCCTCAGAGTAAGAAAGTTAGTTTGAACTCCTCAGTCTGAATGCTTCTTTAGTTCTCTCTCACGTGTTAACATTCACGACATTTTAGCTGTTCCATAAATATTCTCTGAAGAGGAGAAAAATTGATTAAAAACACATATTGCATTATTCCCCCTCCCCGGTTTGATTTTGTACAAAAAAATAAAGCTTAAATGATTGTAGTCTTGCCTCTGACTGTTTGCCGCTTCTCAGCCCCCTTCTTAATTTGAACCTCATTGCTCAGTTGCAACCCAGTTTACCACAGGCAAGAAGCTTTAAGAATGCCAGTTCCCCAAGTACACTCAGAAATCAGATGTCTTGGGCAAAAGGCCCAAATAAGAGCCTCATTGAAGGAAAGCCGTCAAAGGATAAAGGATGATCTCAGCGCCAGTTTTTTTGTACACACTTTGGAACTAGAGATACTATATGACGGATTCCTCACGCCCAGCTACACAAGATGATGCCCAATTAGAAGGTACAAATTAGAGCTGTGAGGAGACAGGAAAGGATTTACAGATTACCATGGGACCTAGACCTGTTCTGGGAGGACGGAATGGGTATCAAAGCGTGTACAAGTAGCAAGTAAATTAGATGCTAATATGTAGGCCACAAATCTATTCTATGTTGCCATAACTTAATTCAATAATGAAACCATTGAAAAAACACAGCAAACATTTATTCCTCACTCATAGGCCTCAGTTTCAGAAAGAACAATGTTTAAACTACTATGGTTCAACAAATATGCAACATCTTATCCAACAATGCATAAACAATAAGAGCAGGTTAATTTAAGCTAAACTGCTTATGGGAAGACGTGCCTGGACAATTACACGAACAATTACAATTGTATTATGCTGTTTTCAGCTTTGAAGAAATACAAATATGGAAAACTCAGGCCCAAGAGGACTACTTGATGTTAAATAACTGAATTGTGAATTTGCGTGTGTGTCTGCCTGTGTACAGTTCACTTCGTTATATATATATATATATATATATATATGTATGTAAAGGTGGTTGGGGTTTTTTTTGTGTGGTGTTTGTTTTTTTTTTAATTAAAATGCAAAATACCTTATTTTTCTCATACCTAATCTTAGTCTAATTTACGGTCAGCATTCACCAGGTAAAGTGCAGCAGGTTGTTGAGACACAGTAGCATGCTTGTAATCTAAACACTAAGCTAATTCAGAATATTCTCCACGAGCAGTGAAACAGAAAGGGTAGTAAAACAGGGCCCATGTGTTCCCCCAAAATTTTCACCTCCACCAGAAATAATACAGGCCTACTTTGATGAAGGCATTTTTCTCCCAGACTTAGTAGGATTTTGTTCATAACAAGCAAGAAACTTATTTATGAACCATTTTCAATATGTACTCTATGACACTATCAACAATGCTATGCTTCATTAGTGTGCTTGCTCTTTAATTTTGGTTTCATGAGTACAATATTATTCTTCTATGTCTTTTTTCTTTAAAAAAAAAAATAATTCTAGTAATCACAACCAAAAATTGAGGCCAAAACTTTCTTTTAAAGATTTTTTTGACAGCTTATATTCTCAAATAAAAGAATAAGCTTTATCTAAGGATTCCAATCTAGTATTTGAAATAACTATCTGTTAAACATTGCAGGACACATTCAAAAAATACTACTTTATTAGGTTTTCCTCCTGCATGCATGCATCTGAGAATGTGTGTTTCGGGGAAAATAATGGCTAGAATTCTATTTGTCTTTTGTTACGTCAGGACAGGAAGTTTCCAGTTTCAGAAAGTTTGCTTACTGTAAGACACTGAGGTTTTGCTAATGTCCTAAAGTTACTAGAAAGGAAGTCTGATGGATAAACATTTTGGTGAGCGTGCCAAGTTTTAGAAGCTTCTCCAGGACTAAATACTGGAAGCGTTTTTAAATTAACTGTAAATGCAAGCATTTAAACCATGAACTAAATAGGTAAAGAACACAAAAGTATTGCCAACATTAATAATTTGTTGAATTTCATCATAATGAACAGTATTTCATACTGTAATACAAGTCACATTACTAAAAAGACAGCTGCAGCAATCCTATATAGGGCAAATATAAGCTGTTAGTAAAAACCCAGACCTATTTTTAAAACCTATTTATTTCTGGAATGAAACTCACTGTAAAACAAAGTTAAAACAAAACTAGCTTTTCTTGCCAGTTAAGTATTGGAAAGCATATAAAATATTCAAGAAGCATCCCTTCTCATAGCTTTTTGTGAAAGCATTAAGTTGCTCCTAACACAGTAAACAAGAAAGTAAACAAAACCATCGCCAGCAACATCGTATTTAATTTGGCTTCACTAAGTAACATAAGCCAAATATGATGTGACAAAAAACCCAACCCCAACACCCCAATTCCATGTTAGCTTGCTGTTACACACTATATAGTACCAGTTATGATCTAAAGTAAACATAAATACAGCAAGAAAAACATTTAAACCCACAAAATAAAGGAATGATAGTGGTTTTATTCCTGTCTTAATAAGGAAGCAAGATACTGAAGCCAGTTGCTAACTTTTTTGCGGGTGCTTTTAATAGCTGCCATTGAGAAGTTTAAATAAAATGGGGTGCGACAACAATAGCTGCTACAAAAACACTACTCCTATAGATTTCAGCTGACTTCAAATAGTCATGATATCAAAAGTGTTTCTCCTTAAAAAACCCCCCACTACATATTTATTTGGTTTTTTTGCAAAAACTGATTTTCAAATACTTCAAAGGCTACTCCATATTATTATTTAAAACATCGATATTCAGAGGCATACTTTAAGATATATATATATATATATAAATTCTTATTGAAAGAGAAAATTTAGTTCCACAAGCTGACACAGAAGTAATATGACTCAAACTGAAACACCATACCTTTTCTTTCCTAAATACTAAATTCATGCAATTTTAGCATAATTTTGTCTAAACAAGCACTGAATATTTCAGCAAACAATTTTAGAAAATGTGGTCATGTGTTACTACGCGGCTTCTATGGCAACAGGACAGCTAAAACTAGGGAGAACTAGTTCCCCTAAATCCTATTCAAGAAGGGAAAAATAAAAAGCTCCAGAACAAGGGACTTAAAACATTTAAGTGGCAAATACAAACTTCTAGTATTAAAACAACACAGAAGAGACATTCCTTTCATGGCAGGTCACGCCTACTAAAACCAAAGTATTTGTATGACAATTTTAGGCAATGCTTTCTCCCAGGATACTCAATTTTAACATGATATTGTTGAGTGCTTGTAGGTGGGATGCATGTATATGTTACATGTTTTAGGACATGCTTTATTTTATTGCCTAAGTATTCCAATGAGTAAACACAGAAAATTGAGACAACAGTACATTCCTAGCTAGGAACAACTGAGGCAATACATAATACATTAATAAAATATCACAGATGATGTTAATGAGGCATTATTTTATTTCCTGTAGCAACAAACAGTAGAGACCCCATTTGTATCCCATACTAATTTTAACACTAAGTGCACTCTTTACCTCCCACAGAACAGTTATACTGTTGAACTCACTACAGTATGCTGTGGCAAATCCCATAAGTATAAATGGGTTACAAAATACAGATTTGACAAACTTAGAAGACATCTACTGGCAATTATTCCAATGGGATTGGTTCAATGGGATTTCCCATTGCATTGGAACTGAAAACTGCAAGTCACCTGACTCCAGATTTGTCCTGTTACCACTGTCTGTCTTTGGAGTGCGTTACTGGCAACTACTAAATACAGGGTACTGAAGGTGACACAGTGGTGGACCAAGTATGGCTCTTCATATTTTCT